CCTTAAAGAATTAATAGGCTAGCTTAACAAATTTATATTCTTTATTAAGGTAACAAACTGCTATAGTAGCGCGATTGCACTATAAATTTATTTAAATTTACTAAGACCTGCTAAATTCTTTAGCATTTTTTAGTAGAGTACTAGCAGCCTAAAAGCTGCTATCGCCTACCTTTATTTACTATTTTCTTATTATTTTACATTTACGTTTGCTATTTTCTATTTATTCTTATCTAATACAGTAGTAAGCTGCTTTAACACTACTAAAAGGCAGTATTGCCGCTAAACACAACAGGCATGAGAGGCACCTAGAGGCCTTTCTCTTCTCTTTAATATGTATATAATTTACCCTAGAACAGGCCTACGAGGTAGTGTGCTACTACTGTAACTTCTTAGCGGTGCCCGCTAGAATGCCCTCTAGGAGGTTACATATAGGCGTAAAACCAATATCAATCAATTAATTACAGTATCCACTCCAAGCATGAGAAGCTTGCATCGCTCAACTTGAATGACTTCGATAACTACAATACAACACTATTTTGCCCTCAATTAGTACTCGCGAAGAACTAACGACAAGTATGACGAACAGAGTGGACAGCCCTCATCGCGAGGTACCTCCTCTCCCAGAATTGACGTACGAGCCTATCAACGTTCCGACGACTATTTGCTGACTTCATTGCGAAGGCCCGACGATATAATCATTGCAGTGATGGGCATAACTGGCTGCGGCAAGACCACTTTCGTCAACCTCTTCTCCGATCGCAAGCTCGAGGTCGGGCATGGACTAGACTCATGTGAGAGCTATAGTCCACTTCCTATTCATCGTGGGCTGAGTCATCATAGGCACAGTATCCGTACAAGTCGTACCTTGTACTTTCGAGGATGGCACGAAGGTCTATCTCGTCGATACCCCTGGTTTCGATGACACCTATCGGTCCGATTCCGAAATCCTGCGCGAAGTCGCGCTCTGGCTGAACAAGGCGCACACGGAGAAACTGCGACTAGCTGGAATCATCTTCCTCCAACGGATCTCAGATGTGCGAGTAGGCGGTAGCGGAATTAAGAATATCAAGATGTTCCAAAAATTGTGCGGTGATGGCCCGCTGTCGAGTGTGGTATTAGCGACGACAATGTGGGACATGGCCACACCCAATGCTGCAATCGAACGAGAAAAAGAGCTACAACAACAACCTCAGCTCTGGAAAAGAATGATAGACCACGGAAGCTGCGTCTTCCGCCACGAGAAAGGAAAGTCGTCAGCGCTGAAGATCATCAAATACCTGATGAAGCGAAAGAAGCCCGTAACACTCGACATACAGCGCGAAATGGTCGACCAAAACCTCGAACTAGTCGACACGGGCGCTGGAGGCGCTCTAGCATCGTCCGTAGAGACACTCATCAAACACTACGAAAAGAAGCTAAAAGAGCTGGAACAAGACCTCAAGGAAGCACGCGCCCAAAGCAACAAAGAAGACCGCGAGATCTTGGAAGCAGCGCAGAAGCAATACCAAGACAATCTCGCGAAGCAACAGCAAGAAATGCAGAATTTACAGGTTAGTGCGGCGCAGCTGATAGAGGATACTAAGAAGCGGTTTGAAGAGAGTGAGGTGTCGGCTAGGGAGAATATGCTACGAGCTCAGGCGAATCATGCGGCGGAGCTGGAGAAGCAGAGGGTGGTGTTGCAGAGACAGTTTAAGGAGAAGTATCTGCAGATGATGCATGAGCGCGCGTGTGTTGTGATGTAGTGGAAGATAATGTAATAGCGTTTCTGCGGATTACGTGAACTTGAGACGAGCGCGTCAACTCCGTTTTCGATATTCTGAACTCGAACTACTGGAGGCGCGTCCCTGAACGCGTCTTGTCAAACAAACTGGAGAAAGCCTCGACGCGCAGCCAAAGCGAGTCAGCCCTCGCGATAACAGAGGCCCCTAAAAGAGGGCAAACAATGACGTGAAAGAGTCGTATCACGCCACATGATGCGACATTCACTCAGAAAAGACGTGATGGGGTCCAACACGCGCGGTGGATGCGCGTCATCAGATATGGCTAGCGCGATCAAGTGGGCCCGCCAAGCGAAATTTAGATTTGGCTTTCACGCCTGCCTGCCACCCTGCCTTCCTCCACGCCAGCCTTCATGACGCCAGCGCGTCAACAACAGGTCTCATCCAACATCCTCACCTTTACCGTGGCAACGCCTCCTGTATCACGCGACCAGGTATTGCAAGACTCTTTTGTTTGGACTTAAGTACAATAGCGGCGTTGGTACACCGAAACACCATCCGAAAGCGGAATGCACGTCGCTCACATCGGAAGTCGCACTTCCCGAAACGATATGTTTCTGCTGTTATCACACCGATACATTCATTGCTATCGATGCGTTCTATGAAGACATATCCATCACCTACTGAACCTTCGAGATCTTGAACCCACCCGGCACAAGCTTCTGGAATACACCTGAAGAGTCATACTTCTTTGCTGCAGCCTTCATTTTCTCCACAGAAGCGGATCCATAGCTTGCGAGGGGATCTTGCGTGTTGTCCGCGTAGTTCAGGTAGAGGTATGGGTTGTCGGCACCGATGCTCTCGGCATACTCGCGGATGTCGTTGACGAGATCGGCGCCTGCGGCTTGAAAGAGCGCGTCCTGTTCAGCACCTTGCCAAGAGATGTAGGGTTGGTATACTACCGATACTAATAAGCGTCCAGTCTTCACAGAATTTCGTGATGAACTTACAACAAAGCACCTGTTCACCAAATCGCTCCAAGCCCAGCATATTGCCGCCCTTGGACGCGCTCTGCCTCCAGTACGAAGGCGGAAGGGGCTGATAGAGCACATAGATCTGCCAGTCACCTGTAGCCTTGGCCTTCAAGTTGGACAGCACATCCATGTAGATCTCATGGGCTTTGGTCATCACGCGAAGATCATTAGCGAAGGTCAGCGTGCCGAAGTATACACTACATCCTTGATCAGCGTCTGATAAACAATACTGGCAGCTAGCTCACCTGTGTGTAGTAGCACCCGCGAGTTCTGCAGCCAGCGATGACATGTTCCTGATACCCGTGGAGTCCGAGATGTTGCCAGGAATTGCCAAAAACTCGTCGTAAGCCGCGGGTCTCGACTCCGGCTCGGCATAGTCGTACGCGTTCAAGATCAAATCGGCGCCCGCTGAGCTCTGATACACCGGCATGACGATAGCTGAGCCCTTCGGTTCCTTGTCAATGTTGTTGGAGAAGTTGATTAGGGCCTTGAAGTGGTCTTGTATTGTCGACTCTGGGTAGATAACCAGACCACCCCACATGCCGGCGTAATCGAAGGTGCCGAATTTGAAGCTAGTGACGATCCCGAAGTTGTTGTTGCCGCCTTTGAGGACAGCAAAGAGGTCTGGATGCGAAGTCTTGGATGCGGTCACGATACGACCATCAGCGAGAACAACCTCGAACTCGATGACGTTGTCGCAGACCAGACCCCGCCCCGGCGAGAAGTACGAGATTCCACCGCCGAGCGTAAGACCGCCGACGCCAACTGTGGACGAGCGTCCACCACTTGTCATCGCGTTCAGTGGCTCCAGGGTATCGTACACGTCGTTCCAAGTTGCCGCAGGACCGACTTTGACCAAAGCCTTCTTAGCATCATACTCAACGGTGCTGAGATAGTGCAAGTCGAGTGTTACGCCGTTCTCGATATTGGAGGCTCCAACGTATGGAGTGTGTCCACCACTACGAATCGCAAACTTGCATGACTTCAATCGACTAGCAGCTGTGAGGGTCTTGACAGCAAGGGCGACTTCTTTGGCGGTCTTGGGCTGAACGATGCAGTTGGGTGTGATAACCTGCTGCTTGAGATCGAAGTAGGAATCTTCCCGCGTCTCATACGCGTCTTGACCAGGGTAGAGCAGCCGACTCTTTAGGGAGGTGAGTGCAAGAGCGGAGCACTGTGGATGTTAGCAGACGTTTCGTATAGAAGGGAACTAGGGAGCAGCCTCACGCAATAGTCAGCATGTGCGAATGGGACGACAGCCGCTGCCGCAAGTAGGGTAAGGGACAAGCGAGTCATGATGATATTCAGTCCAATAGGTGAAGAGATAACACAAGGAACACTCGATGGCCGAAACCTTGACGCAGGCTGTGGCACGCTTTTCTACTCGCTCGTATCTCTCAACAGTTTGAGGGATTAACCTCAACAAGGATGCGCAATTCCTGCTCATCAATGACTCGACATATGAGATGAAGCTGGATGCTCGAAGGATGCCAAAATTGTTTCCAGGACTGGACTCAAGTGGCGTTCGGCCTGTGCCGCGAAGGCCATACACCCGTCGGCAGCGAAGCGGCAATGCCGTCGATTTGTTCGCTAAACGGTGGCTTACAGGGGTCTATGAAGGTAAGCTTCTCCATAGGTTCGATATCACTTTACACACGGCTCGGCACAAGCAGTTAATTTGGGGATCATCCGCGACCCTGACGAGCGGACCGCGGAGAGCTGAACGAGGCACAGTCGCTTTAACGACCATCAACAGACGCTTCGCGGACCTCGGTCAACCACACTGATGGATGCGACGCCTAAGGGATGGCCAATTCAACGAACGCCACATCCTTGGCATGCTTATGCTCAACCCAAGCTTCCGCCAGACAGGAAGACATCTGAGCCGTTATTGCCATGCAGAGTTATGATGCCGATGCAGTGGAGTGGCACAGGTATACTGACCAAGTTCTTGGTTGGCGGTGCAGTACTCCAGGCCAATCCCTTGCTGCATGTGTGAGCCTCACTGCCTAAGCGATGCGGCGTGTACAGTGACATTGCCTGCGCGCTATGACTGAACATCATCGTCAATAGCAGGATTTCATGTGACATGGAACATGGTTACATGTTGAGTATGTTGGTCGACCAGAGCAGGTAATGACGGATTGCGATGACCCAGATGATGGGGACAAGAATTCGAACTGAAATAGACACGAACAACTGCTTCGCCGATTAGCAGGGACGCACACTTTCTCCACATTTTTGCATCATGGACATGAACAAGCCCATCTTTCCAGCTCCGCCTGGATACATCGTCGATGTCGATAACCCCCAAAGAACGGGCGAGGCTGCTAACTTCTGGATTGGCACCCTGGGCATGATCATCGCCGCAATCTTCATGGCTATACGCGTCTACACGAAGGCGAGGTTGGCGAAGAACTTTACATCAGATGATAGTAAGTTCATCGGCTCTGGTCAAGATCGTGACAGATTACGAACATTGTATACACTTTCTAACAACGTCTACAGTAGCGCTGCTCATAGCCTGGGTGCGTCGCATCGCAGCTTGAAGAAGATAGATAGCTCGACACATCGTGCTAACGATCAACCCGACAGTGCTTCTCCATCGCAATACAAGTCCCCATTCTCTGTGCGTTTAGCAAGGCCCACTCCCACCATCCGCGATCTAACCACCCAGCAGTCCAATACGGCCGCGGCACTCTCGGCGTCCACATCTGGGAACTAACTGGCCACCGCGTCAACTCTACCATGAATGTAAGCACCACCAATCCATCAAAACACCAAGCCAACCCCAACTGACCACTCAACAGTTGATCAGCGTAGCGAGCATAATCTACTGCCCCTTCCTCGCCAGCGCCAAACTCTCCCTCCTGCTCTTCTATCTCCGCCTCTCTCACCTCCGCTGGTTCAAATCATGTGTCTACGCAAGCATTTTCCTCGTCGTCGGCTACAACATCGCCCTTGTCTTCCCACTCATCTTCGCGTGCACGCCTTTCTGACGGAACTGGGATGTTACCATCACAGAGGGGAACTGCATTGATAGGACGCCTCTTTACATGGCGACGGCGGTGTTGAATATGGCCACGGATGTTTTGTTGCTTGTGCTGCCGGTGCCGATGGTGGTTAGATTGCAGATGCCACGGGCGCAGAAGATGGGGTTGATATGTATTTTTGGGGTGGGCTCACTGTGAGTACGAACCTAATCCAGACGAGCGCGGTCCAGTGATGAGAGGGGACAAAGCTGACAGGAGCGACAGAACGTGTATAACAAGCGGCGTCCGCCTCGCCCTCCTCTTTCCCATGCTCCAAACAATCGACCAAACCTGGGCGATCGTGATGCCGGGTATCTGGATGTAAGTTCCACGCAATCTCACGACCCATTACACAAATTCCGAAGCAGGCTTCGTTGCATTCATCAGGTCTACGTCGCTAATACACCCCTCCTACCAGCCTCATCGAAGCCAACCTCGTCATAATAACCGGCTGCCTCCCCACCATGCGCCTCTTCTTCCGCCACGTTGCCCCTCACCTCATCGGCGAATCTACTTTACGCAGTAGTCGGAATCGGAGTCGCGGTACCAAACAAAGTCGTACTGCAGGACATGACGCGGATGACCTGCAGCATGAATCCGAGCTCGAGAGAATTGGTGTGCGGACGAAGATGACAGCGCGGTATGAGTGCGTAGAAGATGATGGGGTCAGTGTGGGAAGCGAGGAGAGGATGGGAGCCGGGTGGAGATGTGATCGGGATTCTGAGCGAGGGATTGTCGTGAGAGAAGATGGAGGTGGGGGGATTAGGAAGACGTCGAGTGTGGTTATTGAGAGTGAGGTTTGGGAGGGTGGGAAGGGGGAAGTAGGGCAAAGTGGTACGCGTGTGCGGTAGACTAGATTACACTTCAAAGAATTGTTCTTACTGACATCATGTTCGTCTTGTCGTCATTCGTGCCGCTGTTAATCCTGACAGCGTCTAAAAGCTGAATTTCATACCGCCATTCGCACATATCACACTCCCAGTAGTCCACCCCGCCTCAGGCAAGCACAGCATCCCCACTACACCTCCAATCTCCTCACTGTAACCCGGCCGTCCACCGGCACCCTGGCTCGCCTCATATATCCTCTCCGGATCAATCCCCTTCCTTGGCGCCGCAAGAGGCGTATTCTCAATAAACGGCTTGTTCTGCGCAATAAACGCGTCATCGTTACTCCAGTACATATCCGTAGCAACAGGACCGGGGTTGATCGCATTAACCGTGCAGCGCTCCGCCAACTCCCTTGACCACGTCCTCGTCATGCTCTCCAGCGCCGCCTTTGTACCGCCGTAGATAGACTGGCCTTTGTATCCCAAGCTCGAACTCACAGAGCTGAGGTTGACGATACGTCCAGATCGATCATTCGGCAAATACTGCGTCGCCGCCTTCACCAACAGCAGCGGTCCCCGCACATTGATATTGAACTGCCTAGCAAAGTCCTCACAGTCAACATTCTCGACGTAGTTGTTTCCGGCGACGCCCGCGTTGTTGATGATGATGTCGAGTTGGAACTTGCCCGTCTTGGGGTGCTGGAAGTTGTTCTTTGTTACTTCGACGAGGTGGGCGGGGCCGTTTTCAGAGCCCATGCTTGCTTGCACGCTGATGGCTTTTATGCCGTATTTGGCGGAGAGTTCGGAGGCGAGGGAGGAGGCGGTCTCGGAGGAGGAGTCGGAGGTGTAGTTTATGGAGACGTTGCAGCCTTTGCTGGCGAGGTTGCGGGCGATTTCTACGCCGATGCCTGGGGGTGTTAGAATGGGATGTAGTTTGGGTATGTGGCTGGAATACCTCGAGATGCTCCTGTGATGATGGCATTTCGTCCCTCCAGCACGCGCTGGCCTGAACCACCAGCCAGGTTTGTCGAGGCGGTTCGGGTGTGAGTCGGTCTTGAAGCCATTTTGATATGCGTGTGAATATTATCCGTGGATGTTTCACTGGCTCGGGGGGTTGTTGCGCTTGCTATCGTCTACTTGGCTTGTTGATGGCGGGGTTTTATACACGATGCGGGGTTGTGGAGACAGCTAAATAAGGCAAGTACTCGGTGGTTCCGCCGCCTCGTCGTGAACCCTTCGCTCGGACATTTACCGACCATCGTGAGAAGAGCTGCAGTGCAAACCACCGATGGCACCTGACTCGCATGCCGCCTTGGTGTTCTGCTCGAGACGAGTTGATGGCATTGTCCCGATGTCGATGATCTTCAGGGTCTGAGCTAACCCAGAAGATGCCTGTTGAGATGCAGAACCCGCTAAGAGCTGGCGCGGAGCTGATTCATGCTGTCATGGACGACGTGTTAGACATGGCCAAAACTCAACACCCAGTCGAGAAGGGATCGTTCCTGCGTGAATCTTTACAGGGTGCCTCGTCCCCGTGCTGTGGAAACATCCGAATTCTCACCGGACACGCTTGAAGTTGCGCAAGCTCGTCACCGCCAAGGCTCCGAGCGCCCCTCCGCCGATGTCGCTTTGGGGAAAAGTTAGCATTAGCAGAGCTAGTGCGCGATAGCTGTGGGCATGGGAGCGCTAAAGCAGCAGGATAGTCCAAGATAATCGCTCCACACTGCGTAGATTGAGGGAAGCCCTGACGAACGGCGGATTGTTCTCGCCGTTGCAGAATAAAGTTGAGGGCGGTGAGTGCACCGTCGAATCGGAGCCACGCAGGCGCCAACCCCGCGACGTTGCTGCATACGCCAGCAAAAAACATAAAGCACACCATCCGCTACCACTCTTCCTCCTACATCCCACCTTCCTCCCTCACCCTCTTCCCCCTCCCCTCTACCACATCCTACCCATCCCCCCAATTATCACAGTTGTCCGCATTGGACAATCACATCACAATGGTACACTCTTCAGTACTCGGTTTCCCCCGCATGGGTGCGGACCGTGAGCTCAAGAAGGCCAACGAGGCCTACTGGGCCGACAAGCTCTCGCGCGACGACCTGATCAAGGAGGGCAAGCGTCTGCGGTTGGAGCACTGGAAGATCCAGAAGGACGCCGGCGTCGATGTCATCCCCAGCAACGACTTCGCCTTCTACGACCACCTCCTCGACCACATCCAGCTCTTCAACGTAAGCACACGTCATCCAATACCCGCTGCAGTCGACTAACAGGACTAGGCTATCCCAGAGCGCTACTCCAAGCACTCGCTGCACAAGCTCGATGAGTACTTCGCCATGGGCCGTGGCCACCAGAAGGACGGTGTCGACGTCCCCTCGCTGGTAAGTCCCGAAAGTTCGGGAGTTATCAACACCATCTAACCCCACTACAGGAGATGGTCAAGTGGTTCGACTCAAACTACCACTACGTCAAGCCCACCCTCCAAGACAACCAGACCTTCACCCTTGCCGAGAACCCCAAGCCCGTCGCTGAGTTCCTCGAGGCCAAGGAGGCTGGCATCACCACCCGCCCCGTCCTCATCGGACCTGTCTCCTTCCTCGCTCTCGGCAAGGCCGACCGTGGTCAGTCCGTCGACCCCATCACCCTTCTCGAGAAGCTGCTGCCGGTATACGTCGAGCTCCTCCAGAAGCTGAAGGAGGCTGGTGCCGAGTACGTCCAGATTGACGAGCCTGTCCTCGTCTACGACCTCCCCCAGAAGGTCAAGGATGCCTTCAAGCCCGCATACGAGAAGCTCGTCGGTAGCGGTCTGCCCAAGCTTGTCCTCGCCACCTACTTCGGTGACATCGTCCACAACTTCGAGGTCTTCCCCAGCCTCCAGGGTGTTGCTGGTATCCACATCGACCTTGTCAGGAACCCTGAGCAGCTCGAGAGCGTCATCGGCAAGCTTGGCTCCAACCAGGTTCTGTCCGTCGGTGTCGTCGACGGCCGCAACATCTGGAAGACCAACTTCAAGAACGCCATCGAGATTGTTGAGACTGCTGTCCAGAAGCTCGGCAAGGACCGTGTCCTCGTTGCCACCTCCAGCTCCCTTCTCCACACTCCCCACTCTCTCGACAGCGAGAAGAAGCTGCCCGAGGAGGTCAAGGACTGGTTCTCCTTCGCTTGCCAGAAGGTCTCCGAGGTCGTTGTCATCGCCAAGGCTGTCAACGACGGCCCAGCATCCGTCCGTGAGGCTCTTGAGGCCAACGCCAAGTCGATGCAGGCTCGCGCCTCATCTGAGCGCACCAACAACAAGGCTGTCAAGGACCGCCAGGCCAGCGTCACCCCTGAGCAGCACGAGCGCAAGTCAGGCTTCCCCGAGCGTTACGCTCAGCAGAAGAAGCACCTCAACCTCCCCATGTTCCCTACCACTACCATCGGATCTTTCCCCCAGACCAAGGAGATCCGTATCTCGCGTAACAAGTTCACCAAGGGTGAGATCACACCCGAGGAGTACGAGAAGTTCATCGAGAAGGAGATTGAGGAGGTCGTCAAGATCCAGGATGAGCTTGGCCTTGACGTCTACGTCCACGGTGAGCCCGAGCGTAACGACATGGTGCAGTACTTCGGTGAGCGCCTTGACGGTTATGCCTTCACCACCAAGGGTTGGGTCCAGTCTTACGGATCCCGCTGCGTCCGTCCCCCGATCATCGTCGGTGACATCTCGCGCCCTGCCCCCATGACCGTCAAGGAGTCCAAGTACGCCGCCTCCATCTCCAAGAAGCCCATGAAGGGTATGCTTACTGGACCCATCACCTGCCTCCGATGGTCCTTCCCCCGTGACGATGTCCACCAGTCTGTTCAGGCCCAGCAACTTGCTCTCGCTCTCCGCGACGAGGTTGTTGACCTTGAGTCTGCTGGCATCTACGTCATCCAGGTCGACGAGCCCGCTCTTCGTGAGGGTCTTCCTCTCCGTGCCGGCACTGAGCGCGAGAAGTACCTCTCATGGGCTGTCGACTCGTTCAAGCTCGCCTGCGCTGGTGTCCAGGACTCTACCCAGATCCACTCCCACTTCTGCTACTCCGAGTTCCAGGACTTCTTCCACGCCATTGCCGCGCTCGATGCTGATGTCCTCTCCATCGAGAACAGCAAGAGCGACGC